TACGCTGTAAAAGCATCTGCACGTCGGCGGGTTCGGGCAGAAGTAAGTAGCGTGGTGGGCGCCCTATCGGTTTGGGGACTGCGACTGCTCGTGATCAGAGACAGGCGTTGAAGACTCGTCGATGGCACTGGAAGAGACGTTGGACTAGGGGTGGTATCTGTTGGTACGGAGCCAGAAATGTGTATTATACGAACTGTGCTACTGTTTTCTGTAATGCAGTATCAGATTTAGGTTCGATGCGTTACGGTGTGGGAATATCCGGATATGTTGTCGGCTGCGCTTTCAATGAGGACAACGCATTAACTTTTGGTTTCGGGAGCCAATATGTGGTGAATACTGGTCCAGATAGCGTAAAGCATTTTTGACTCGGTTCATGTGAACGGTCTTCGGCTTTGATTGTGGAGATGTGATACTCACAATGGTGATGTGGGGGTGATTGACGGAGATCACTAGGAACTGTTCGATCCAGGGGTAACCGACAGCTTAGCCGACATGCACAGTTCAGGCGCGAAATCGCGCAAGGAGACGCGGTCTCCTACTCTTATGTCGAGAGGAGGTAAGTGGTGCTTGTCGTATCGGCGTTTCATATCTGCACTGCGCTTGCGGTCAAATTCGAAGGCTAAAGCATACGCCGAGTGTAGGGCTTCCACGAGGGAGCTCTCTACAAGGAGGGGGCTAGGTCCGACGGGACGTGTCCCTCGATCTTGTACCTAATTGGTATATAGATGTTGAGGACGGGATCGCGTCCGAACACTAGGAAGAACGGTAAACGGTCGCTATCGCTGCTATGGATGGAAGTAATGTAGGCGAGTACACAGGCTGGTAAAAAGAGGTCCCAATCGGATTGACTTGCTCGAATATAAGTTCGAAGCACTTCTTGGAATGTAGCGGAAACGCGTTCGCAGACGCCGTTTCTTTCATGATGGTATGGGGTGGAGAAGTAACGTCGTATGAGCAATAGCTGACCGAGTTCCGTGAGGAGGTCGCCCTTGAAGTAGGAGGCGTTGTCGGTTATCAAAGTGGACATAGCGCCAAAAACCAAATACAGTTATTCATAGTAGCGCGCGCGACCGTTACTGCTGTGCAGTCTGACAGGGGCGCGGCAATAACGAACTTCGAAAAGTGGTCTATGAGGCAGACGATGTATTTGTTGTGCCTGGGGGTTTGATGGTATGGCCGCTGAGGTCCAAACAGACCTTGTCAAAAATTGCGCCCTCGTGGATAGAAATGAGGAGCTCGCGAAACGTAGGATGGAATCACTTGCGTTGGCATGTCTCTTATGAACAGGCAAAGTTGAAAACGTCTTCCTTAAGGGTGGGCCAGAAGAATCGGCGTGCTATTTTGACCAATGTCTTCTTCCATCCGAAATAGCCTCCTGCTGTAGGACTATCGTGGAGTGCCACGCAAATGGGTTCGCGTAATTTTGTTGGGAAGAATATAACCGAGGAAGTGGGGGGAACAAAGTGGGCCGACAAAATGGAGGCATCCTTTTCCTTAAAGAGGCATTTGTCCGCTAAATCCCGGCTGGTTTCAAGTATTTTCGGTGATGTGAGATCAGGGAAGGGTTCTGTCTTCAGAAAATGCATTATCGCGCTGCACAGAGGATCCTCTTTTCGTGCAAGCAGGACGTCATACGAGCCAACGAAAAGTGGTGGAGCCAAGGGTGGTTCCGTTGCTGGTCGGAGGGCAGGAGACTGTTCTATGCGATGTAAAAGGCATCGAGGAAATCCCACGATGTCCTCGCTTTCAGGTGCGTCGTCCGTGAAGCGATAAGCCTTGTCGGAATTGCGACTGATGTGATCCGCACGTACGTTTGACGATCTCTTTCGGTACTCGATAGTGACGTCAGGGATTTGTAACTCCACCACTAAGCGAGCCAGGTGGTCGTCAGGCTTTCCGTGGCAGAGAAGAAACGCAAGGGGCTGGTGGATTCAGGGTGCGCGCGTATGGTTGCCATATATGGTAGCGCGAAAGATACGAAATGCACTAATCATGGCAAAGAGCGCGATATGGGTTGGGCTCCATTTTTGTTGAGAAGGGACAAGGTTTTACTGAAGTAACCGATCGCCCTTGCTGGCAGTGTGGGGTTTTGTTGCTGGAATAGGGCCGCTCCCACAGCTATATATCTTACTGCCGTACGTATGGAGGATAAGTTCCTTGTTCTGGGGAAACGCTAAACACAGGCGGCTGGTCAGAGTCTCTTTTATCGAGCAGAAGCTGTTGCTTAAGATGTGTCGCACTGGAATGGGGTTTTATTTTTGCAAAGCGCGTATTTGGGTGCCGCGATTGAGGCAAAGTCCTTGAATTTGCGAAAGAAGTTGACCGTACTCAAGAAGCCTTTGACTGCGCGCACCGATGTGGGTGCCGGTAAATTCCGAATAGCGGAGATATTACGTTGAGCCAGTGTATAAAACGATCTTGAGATCTCGTGTCCAATAAAGGTTATTTTGGATTGGGCAATGCTCGTTGGTTTCTTGCCGGCAACTTTAATATTAAACATGCGGAAGCGGTTCAACACCTTGCGCAAGGAACAAAGATGTGTCAAAATCGTTATCAAACACGATTATATCATCTAGGTATTCCGAACAGTTATCGTCTAGGCCGACCAGGATTCGTGACATAGCTCTGCAGAAGTATTCGCCGGCGTTGCGTCAACCAAAAGGGAGGTACACAAATTGGTAAACTCTTTGATAAGTAGCCCAGCCGCACTTTGCTTCACTTTCCGGGGAAAGCACCAACTGCATGTACCCTGACGCCAGTTCGAAAGAATTGTAGAAACGGTTTCGTGCTACGCGCTGCAGGAGATCATCAATTCGAGGGAGGGGGTAACGATGTAGTATTTCGATGTCGTTGAGCGGGTGAAAATCGAGGCATACGCGGGGTGACCCATCTTCTTGTTTGACCAACACCGTCTTGTGAAGCCATGGGGTGTCGCCTTCGACGATCCAACCAGACTAAAGGAGTTTGTTGCTGTGATCATCGAAGTCTTCCTGGAAGCGAGCGGGGATGCGTGTAGGATGATATTTTGAAGGCGGAATTCCCGCCGCTGTCTTGATAGCAATACGAGTATGAACGTATGCTGACGTGGAAATACGATTTCTATACTCATGGAATAGGTCGTAAAGTTGATGTCGTTGTGCGGAGGTGACCTCAGCTCGTGACAAATCAAGGTGGAACGGCGTTTCGTCAGACTATGTGCTCGCGAGTGGCCCCGCCACCATGTTAGCCGTGCTAAAAATGCTAGTGAAGTTCGAGTATTCTCCTATTGGGGAGTTCCAGATTGGGTCGTGCCGAAATGACGTATTGATCTTCGTAAATAACTACTGGTGTGTCCGTGGGGTTGCTGATGGTCACTGAGACTGAGGGATGGCGATGTGTGATATCGCTGGTGCGACCATCACGTGGTCTTGATTGAGCACCGATCCGTCGACCAACACCGTAGCGCACTTGGGGTCGCTATTATTCACGTAACACGGAATGAAGATTTTTGAACCTGGGGCATGGTGGCTGCGGGTATTGAGTACGAAAGCGGTTTCTAAGTTGAGTCGGCGAACGAGTGGGGTATCGAGGTGAAAACTGGTATCGGCTCTTCACCGATTAGGGAAATTCGTTGTCCATAAGTGAGTGCCCAGAGTGGAAGGCGTTGTAGCAAGTCATTGCCCAGAATAATTTTGTAGACGTCGACTGCACGAGCAATGCAGTCCGATCCCGTCAAGTGCACGTAGTGGCCGATAGAGTGGGAGCTGGGAGGACTCTGTCGTGCTACCTACGAACTTGGCGGGGATTCCGGCTATGCCTATCGCTGCGGGGACTTGGCATGGCTTAAGATGGAAGATACTTGGCAGGGGCAGAAATGATTGACTCGCTACTGTAACAACTGTGCCAGCATCTGTCAAGGCCAGCATGTGTACCCCGTTGACTGGTACAGGGATTTGGACGACGAATTGAGCTTTGGGAGAGTCTGGAGAGAGGACGTCAGCCGAAACATCAAGGCGCGTAGAGGCCATACTGTCGAAGGGTCTATTTCAATCTGAGGGATATCCAACTGCAGCGGTGGACGGGGCGAGGCCAGCCGTGCGGTACTGGAGTTTGCAGACGG